AGATACAAACCACAAAGAACACCAATATATATATATATATATCATGAAATATGTACTTGCAAATGTGGATGTAAACCTAGTAGTTTTTGCATTTGCTTATGTATTTGCGGTGTTTATGCATGGGTGTGCATGTGTACGTGCACGCAAATGTGGATCTGTGTGCATATGGGTGTGTGTATGTGTATGTGTGTATACGTATGTATGTATGTATGTATGTATGTATGCCGCTGATACAGTAGCTGGTTGTTCTCTCTGGAGCTCGCCTGAGCTTCAAACGCGAGTGCCAAAACATGTATGTGCGCATGCATGTGTGTGTGTATGTATGTATGCATGCATGTATGTATGTGTGTGTATATGTATGTATGTATGTATGTATGCCGCTGATACAGTAGCTGGTTGTTCTCTCTGACCCTCGCCTGAGCTTCAAATGCGAGTGCCAAAACACGTATGTGCGCATGTATGTGTGTGTGTACGTATGTATGCATGCATGTATGTATGTGTGTATATGTATGTATGTATGTTACGTATGTATGTATGTATGTATGTATGTATGTATCTATGTATGTATGTATGTATGTACTTATGTATGTATGTGAGTGCGTGTGCAGCATGTCTTTACGTATACATGGATTTAAAGTATACAGAATCATATGCACCTAACGGCGGATGTTTGTGTGTATGTATAATGTACACACACATTTCCACACACGTGTGCATATATACATATATTTTACGTACAACATGTAATATGTATCAATCCATCTGTCAGTGGCTATCGCTTGTCTCGTTTGCATTAAGACATGTATGGCCTTGTAAGTGCAAAAACAAACATGCATGCCCTTTTTTTATGTTCGTTTGTTTGTTCATGTATGCGCGATGCATATTTTTACACATACCGGCCTGCGTGCATCATTACGTCGTGTTAATGCAAATGGTGGCACATGCGTGCACGCACACACGACACAGAGACATGTTTATTTTGTATTATCTGGATCTTGTCCGTTGGCCTGCCGGTCACAACCTGTTTGCCAAGTGCAGGTGTGTGCGAGGGTTGGGGCCCCGAAGACAGCGTTTACTTCTCCATCACTGCCCTGACAACAGTGGCTTGGATGTATGCCGACAGTTCATTCATGCAAACCTGGAAGGTGTAAGCGAACTTACAACAGCTTCGTTTCCATCATGTGCTCGTGTGCCGTGTGCCAGTAAATGCCTTGCATGTATACATGTCACATGTATGTATGCATGCATGCCTGAATGAAAGGACCTCGTCCCTGCATATGTCTGGCCATAGTATGCGCATATCCACATCCGGACGTGCTTACATGCATGTATGCGTGTATTCGTGGATGGATTCATGGACGTGTAGCACTCGTGCTTCTAACCCCGTACTTCCTTTGGCTTTCATGTTTACACTGGCCGCTTGCTACCGCCTCGCCCTCGCAGACATCAGCAAAGCTTTCCTTCACCGCTTGAGGAAAGTTGACCAAGCAAGTGTTCTGCGACTATGGTACCCCGAATTGGGATGGGTAGCTGTGTTCTTTCAGCAAGCCCAAATTGTGCTGAATGGTGCCCATGGAGTGTTTCAAGACGCCCCGAAGCATTGCTCGGACAGCTGCTGAGCAGTACATCATCAGATACCATTCCGAGCAACCCAAGGTATGAGGCCAGGTGTGTTTACAGCGGCAAAAGCAGAAGCCCTTCGAAAAGGTTTGGAGGGTTCAACAGGTGACAGATCAGTTCGGAGCGTGATTACGCCCGTGCTGACCACTCCAATCCAAGGTGGGCTACGGAGATCTGGCACCTTCACACCCCGCCTCAAGGCCTGTGCAAGCGATGGTGGAGATCTTGAACTTGATGTTCTCTTGCCAGCCGCACTCAATGCTATTCGGTGCCTTCAGTCAAGTTGCGGGGCTTCTGCTGTGCAGGCTGTTCTTCAGCTTTGCAATCCTCTTGGCTCTTGTGCTACTCGCTGCTAGATTGAGCGGCCTGGATGGCATTTACAGACATGGGCAAATTGGACTTGGCCAATTGCAGTAGGAGCGTATGAATGAGCAGCCTCCGACCCTGCTTAGTTCATGTTCATGCCATGCAGCAACATGTCCATCATCGAAGGTAGCTTTGTCCACGAGCTTGTCCAGAGGGAGACGGGTGCAGCAGCTGGGAGGTTGAACCAGCAGTTGAAGATACGTTTGGGTGGAGCATCGGACGAGGACATTGACATCTTTGACGAAGAAGGCCGGCTTGAGAGGTTCTGAGGTGTTAGCAAACGCTCCCCCCTGAAGATTCGTGCTGGTTAAGCCTTAGCTCAAGGTGAGCGACGCCGCTTGAGATCGAGAAGCCCGCCTGCGGTGAAACGGTTTGGTTGACCCATCACCTAGCTGAGTGGTTTTGTTCTTGTGATGGCGCCAAGGATTCAGACGGCAGTTGCAGCTGCTGACGATGTACTTGCTCTTGAGCTCGTTCATATCAAAACGTGCTCTCGGGCTACCTAGTTCGTGGGAGGTGCGTGTAGTTGTGCAATTTGCCGAAAGTGATCAAGGACAGAGTTGCAGAAGTGCTTTCATGATCTCGGCCTGCCAGGCCCTCTATTTCAGCGTGGTGACTTTAACCACGATCGGCCTTGGTGATCTTGTTCCACAGACCCCGGAAGCGAAGTGGATCATTTCTCTGCTTTGCTTGGTAGGCGTTCCAATCTTCGGCCCCTCGGAGCAGATTTAGCCACGGGCCGGGGAGAGAAGAAGATGTGGGATCTTTAGACTTTGTTGCTGCGCATGAAAGGTTCTTGCATAGATGGAAAGTTCCAATCATAATGGTGGTTCTAGCAATTTTTCCTTTTGCAGCATAATATAGTGCTATACTATAGTGCGTTATAGTATTATATTACCAGTTTTTAGTATATTACAGTATATTCTAGTATTTGCACATGAGGCGGATAGCTGTGCCTACTTTTTGCTTCTTCTTGCGGTTTGGGGGGAAAGGAAGTGGGGTGATGACGTTCTGTGTTTCAAGATGCGCTAGTGTGACATGCCAAGTCACATCATGACATCTCGTGTCGTGTCATGATGTATCATATCCTATCATGTCACGGCATGTCATGTCATGTCACCTCCTATCATTTCAGATCATGTCATGTCACACGACGGGTTGCTTCAGCAGATTCTCAATCCTTTGTCAAACTCTGTTTCGTGTGACAGGCGTGGTACTTTCGGTATGTTTGCCAGTGCTATTTTCTATCTACTAGTTCCCGGGAAAGAGCCTCACCAGGCCGTAAGCGCGACTAGCGTGTCCAAAACTCCAGTTTTAAGCGTTGCCCAACTGTAAACGCAAAAATAACACACCTTCAACAAATCCAAGACGAAGCCTGTTTGGTGTGACAGGCACGGTAGAATCGATGTAGGCGTCTGTTTTGCAAGGTCCAATTATCCCCCCTTGAAGTAGTAATTATAATATCGTAGTTATGGTTATGTACCTGTCGTTGGGGGTGAATTTTGCCGATTCTGAGGCGCTACCTTGGCTGAGCTTGTGGCGCTGATCTACGGAGAGCGACAGCGAGGCATCAAGCAAAGGCGTGCAGCCCTGTTCAAGCTTTAGAGGCTTAGGTCAAGGCCAACAACGGGTTTAGGGTTCAGTTTATGTTAATTGGCGTGGAGGATTCAGGCTGCAGGGCTTGGGTCCAGGCGAGTGGGGATCGGGAAGACATCATGTGGCCGGAGGGAAGAGACGAACGAGTGCATCGCTCGAATGTTTTGCAAGGTGCAGGAACCCTCAGCATGCTAGAGACGGTAGGCACATTCTCAATCGTTGACTCTAGCCTCCAGGATTCTAGTAAGTAACTCCTCGCATTGCAGAATGTAATGGGTTCTTAGCCGATCGTATGGCAGGGTGGTAGTTGGAATTCGCAAAGCAGAAGACAGATAGACAGCTGCAGGATGCCGCAGGGGCACTTGCGAACAACGGTCATGCTTCAGGTAAGAACGGAGGCATGGGGCTGGAGACCTTCAAGTTCAAGTAATGGCTCGATCTGTATCACTCTCATGCTCGTGCCAGGCTGCCGAACCTGACAGTTGCAAGGCTGCTGAAAATGAGGAAGTTTTCGGAGGACGCGCAGTTGGCCTGCTGTAGTGCCACAGCAAGCATCGAATGCTACAAACACTGCGGCATTCCAGGTCATGGAGCACGGAGTGTGCTGTGCCCCATAAAGGGCGTGCAGGTGGTATGCCATACCGACGCATTGTCAAGTATGTTCAGGAGCTTCACAGTCGCGGATTATTGGATAAGAAGGCGGAGAGTGAATTTCGAAAGCTGGGAGAACACAGGACTGAGAAGCATGTAATCATTGCTTGCTTGACAGGTGTGCTTTCGAAGATCTGCTAGACCCAACATCAGCGCATGACCGCCTCGCAGGATTTCACAGTTTGAGTTTTGCTGCTTCCTCCTTGTCCAGACTTTCGGACGGCAAGGTCTGATGTTCCTGGTGATCATCAGGGCCTATCTGGTTATACAATCAACTTGATGACGGGATGCGGGTCTTAGCTGTGTGTGCCCAGGAACGAAATCATCAGCATGGATGATGTGGAGACCATCTCGAAGAACTTCCTTCAGCTTGACTTATCTGGTGACGGGGCGCTTTGGACGAAAGATGCCCTCGCTTGGGAGCTGCAAAGGCTACTCCAGCCGAAGAAGAAAAAGCAGGCCGCTGTCTTATGTGTTCACCCCGCCCCCTCCCCCTCCATCAGATTCACAAGCCAAAGCTCGGAAGAAGCACGTGAATGTGAGCGCTGAGAAGAGAGAGCAACCGAGTCTGTTTTGGACGTCTACCCAGCGCCGAAACTCGCTGTCGGTCTTCAGCAGGGTCAGTCGGGGCCGGCGGGACCGTGTCGTCTTCTCCACGGGGCTGGGAACCCGGCCCCCGATAAGCCCCCAACCGATGGTCAGCAGGTTAGCCTCTCACCGTAGGGCCAGTGACTGGCAAAGCCCTCCACATGCGAACTGCACCGGCGGCACTGATCGTCAATGTGTCTCAACGTGACCGGAGAGCAGAAGCAACATACTTGTACGCGGCAGGAGAGTCAGAACAAGCAAGCCTATATCATGAAGGGCAAGGCAGAAGGAAACTACACGACCTAATCACGGCATCACAGACGGCTCGAAGTGGGTGGAACGAGCGAAGGGACTTCTGCGATCAAAAAGCAGCCGCTGACACAGGGGCCTTAGAAGTGACCACAAGCCCACAGGGACAAGCAGCGCAGAGGAACATGACCGAGGTGACAATATGAAGGAGGCAAAAGCCTTCCAATTTGACTATCGGAACAGTACCGGGACAACCCATGGCTGCAAGTGCACGAGCAGGGTTTTCGCTTCTCACCATCGACGGGGACACTCTACACACCAGCATTTGTGTGGACTGTCGACATGTTGAGCAGTTCGGCCGGTCTCTAGCATCATGCAAAGACTGTGGCCGCTTCGAGGACAGAAAGGATCAGGACGAGAGCGACATCTCACAGGCAGAGGCTGTGAAGCTTAGAGCCTCGGCCAGTGCATGTCAGAGGGAACCTAAGGCGTGGCAGAGGCTCTGGAGCAAAGCCCAAGTCCGAGCTCCAGTGGTTTACTTAAGCTTTCGCTGCAAGAGCAGTGAAGCTGAGGGTTGGTTGTAGTGGTAGTGGCAGTGGGTGGTCGTGGTCGTAGTTGTAGTAGTTGTAGTCGTAGTTGTAGCAGTCGTCGCCGCCCCCGCCGTCGTCATCGTAGCCGTCGTCGTAGTCGTAGTTGTAGTCGCAGCCGTAGTCGTCGGTGGTGGTAGTAGTAGTAGTAGTAGCAGCAGCAGCAGCAGGAGGAGCAGGAGTAGTAGTGGTAGCAGTAACAATCTTCGTAGTCGTCGTTGCCGTATGTTGCCGTCAGAGGCAGTAGCAGTAGCCGTGGCAGCAGTGTGATGCCGGCCTTAGTGGCAGCAGTGGAATGTGGTAGTAACATGTAGTAACAGTGACAGTGGTGGCAGTAGCATTCGTCGTCGTCGTAGCCGCAGTAGTAGTGGTCGTCGTCGTCGTCGCCGTCGCCTTCGTAGTTGCAGCAGCATTCTTCCCAAGGAAGTTCGCTGGAAGCCATCGACATGAAGACCGCAGGCTGCATTGAGCTCGCCGAGCTTGAAGCAGCCCTTCATAAGTGGCATGTTGGCACATCAGGCGGTACAACCATATGTGGGTTTGACAAATTGAACTAGGGGCAACTTGTTGATGGATCCTGAGAACGATGATCCCATCTGTCTGGCCGCTGAGGGTTGGTGTCGTCACATCGGAAGGGTATGTCAGGTGTCCCGGCTCTTTAGATTCGGATTAGCATGCCCTTGAACTGGATGCCGTGCTCTGGAGGAGATTCTTTTTGAAGCTGGATCTCAATCGTGATGGCAAGATCAGCTTTCAGGAATACAAGGAGCCTCCTGTCTGCAGTATTTCAGCTGCCCTGACATGCAGTTGCACCGTTGTATGTTTTCTGCACCTTTGGAAGCTAGGCTCATTCGCAAGCTTTGCCGCAAAAGCCGTGCGCCTTCGGACTCTCTGGACCCCGAAGCGGAGAATCTGGAGCCGCAACCAGGCCCGTGAAAGCGGGGACAGAGCCAAGTTTTTAAGTGGGGAGCGTGGGTCACCCCAAGGAGGTGCAACCCAGGTGATCCCAGGTGTCTCACATTTTATTCAATTCTGGCTCCTCATGTGTGCAGCCGGCGGAGCCTTTGTGGTTTCCGAATTCAATCAATTTTCCCACCAAGCTCCACATTGTGAGCAGATGTTTAATGCACTTCCGAGGCAGTGGCAATGTCAGACGTCCTGCCCATGGGCAGAAATCACACATATCATATACAGATCTGATATGGATGTTTCACATTGCCAATGTCAACACCGTTGTTACTTTGTGGTCTTTGCCCTTGCTCTCGACAGGGCCAGGAGACCGAGGCCGGATCCACTTTACAGCTTCCTGCGCGAAGTCGTCTCACGGTGTTCCGTACCGGCTTTCTCATGGTAGCATAACTCGGCCTCGCGGCACACAGCACTGGAACTACATGATGTTCAATGCTTTGTGCTCCTTGGGCCAGCATGGGTGAATCATGGCCTCAAACTTCTGCATGGAAGCTTCGGCAAAACCGAGAGCGTCGAATTTGCAAAGCGGTCCTGCCATTGCATCCACCATGGCTCTAATGTTAAGCCCAGACAGTTTCGAATTATCGCCACGGAGGGTGCGAGAGCGAGAGGACGGGGAAAGAGACGAGGGTGAACAAAGGAAGCAAGCAAGTGTAGAACAACTACACACTGGCAGCAGCCGCCGAGAGTGCCACAAACAGCTGACATCCTCCCTACCGGGGGGTTACCCCGTCAGGCAGAGTGCAAGACAGCGGAAGCGGCAAAGAAAGAGAGAAATGGAGAGACAGAGAGTGTGCCGAAAGAAAGAAAGAACAACATAAAGAAAGAACGACAGAAATGAACACCATGACAAAATAAATAAAACATTAATAAAGTGTGTGCGTGCGTGTGCGGGTGTGTCTGTGTATCTCTGTGTGTGTTTGTGTTTGTATGTTTCTTTCTTGTTAGCTCTCTCTCCGTCTTGTCTTGCTCTGCAAGTGTGCGGGAACATGCATGACATACATGCACGTATTCGTGTGTTTGTGTGTGTGTGTGTGTATCTGTATGTGTGCAAAAGCAAGCCTAAGCGAATAAAGGCAAAACTATGCATAGATGTAGATATGTTATATTTATGTGTGTATATATATATATATTTATATCTCTAGAAATATCTATATCTATATATATATACATATGTCTATATCTATATATATATACATATGTATATGTATAGACTTATGTATATGCAAATGTATGTGTATACCGATGTTACCCATGCGCGCATGCACGTGAATAACACAGTGTGCCATGGCTGGGCATGGCATATCATGAGTTGCGTAAGTTGTTTTATCTTGCCTTACCTGGTCCTACCGTATCTTTTTTGTATCTTAGTTGAACATGGCAGTCCATACCATGCCATGCCAGGCAGGCCAGGCTCGACCAGGCCATCATGCCAGCATTTGTCCGTCCGGCCAGCCAGCCAGCCAGCCATCACGTACACATACATGTACAAAAATTCGCACACAAGCACACATGCACACAGGTATATACATAGATACATACACACATATGTATGTCTCCTAATTATCGGCTAGGTAGGTCTGGAATTGGGGGATCAGTTTTGCGATCGTAAGAACTGCCCTGAGGCCATTTATCCGTGGCCATTTTGGCACGAGCCGATCGGCCGTGCCCAAAAGAACCCACCCACTCCGCCCTTTTCTGTTCTT